AGTGACCCCAAAATCCAGAGTGACCCCAAAATCCTGAGACCCCAAAATCCAGAGTGACCCAAAATCCAGAGAGACCCCAAAATCCAGAGTGACCCCAAAATCCAGAGTGACCAAAAAATCCCAGAGTGACCCCAAAATCCAGAGACCCCAAAATCCAGAGAGACCCCAAAATCCAGTGACCCAAAATCCAGAGACCCAAAATCCAGAGTGACCCCAAAATCCAGTGACCCCAAAATCCAGAGACCCCAAAATCCAGAGTGACCCCAAAATCCAGAGACCCAAAATCCAGAGACCCAAAATCCAGAGTGACCCCAAAATCCAGTGACCCCAAAATCCAGAGAGACCCCAAAATCCAGAGAGACCCCAAAATCCAGAGTGACCCCAAAATCCAGAGTGACCCAAAATCCAGAGTGACCCCAAAATCCAGAGAGACCCCAAAATCCAGAGAGACCCCAAAATCCAGAGTGACCCCAAAATCCAGTGACCCCAAAATCCAGAGAGACCCCAAAATCCAGAGAGACCCCAAAATCCAGTGACCCCAAATCCTCTGGAGTGACCCCAAATCCCTCTGGCCCAATCCCAATTCCCTCCGGATTGATCCAGATCCCAAAGCCACAGAAAGAATCCCGGGAAATTGGGGAAAATTGGGGAAAATTTGGGAATTCCCTCCCACCTGCCCCAAAGCCCAAATCCCATGGGAAATATCCTGGGAAATTGGGGAAAATTGAGGAAAACTGGGGAAAATTTGGGAATTCCCTCCTGCCTGCCCCAGAGCCCAAATCCCATGGAAAGGATCCCAGGAAATTTGGGAAGTTGGGGAAAATTGGGGAAAATTTGGGAATTCCTTTCTGCCTACCCCAGAGCCCAAATCCCATGGAAAGGAGCCCAGGAAATTGGGGAAAACTGAGGAAAACTGGGGAAAATTTGGGAATTCCCTCCTGTCTGTTCCAAAACCCAAATCCCATGGAAAGACCCTGGGAAAATCGGGGAAAATTGGGGAAAATTTGGGAATTCCGGCGCCCACCTTGGCCTCCTGCTCGTTGAAGGAGTTGGTGCTGAACATCTGAGCCACGGCCTCGAAGGCAGCGGTGAGGGGCAGCATGAACTGCTCGTACTGATCCTCGTCCTCCCCTGGAAAACACGGAAAAAACACGGAAAATCCATGGAAAACACGGAAAATTTGGGAAATTCATGGAAAAATATGGGTAAAACATGGGAAAATATGGATAAAACACGGATAGAACAGAGAAAAACCATGGAGAAACCCATGGGAAATCCCCCATGAACTGCTCGTACTGATCCTCGTCCTCCCCTGGAAAACACGGAAAAAACACGGAAAATCCATGGAAAACACGGAAAATTTGGGAAATTCATGGAAAAATATGGGTCAAACATGGGAAAATATGGATAAAACACGGAAAAACCATGGAGAAACCCATGGGAAATCCCCCATGAACTGCTCGGACTGATCCTCGTCCTCCCCTGGAAAACACGGAAAAAACATGGAAAATCATGGAAAATTTGGGAAAATATGGGAAATTAATGGAAAAAAACATGAAAAAATATGGGAAAATATGGAAAAAAACATGGAAAACTACAGAAAACCCCATGGGAAATCCCCCATGAACTGCTCGGACTGATCCTCGTCCTCCCCTGGAAAACAGGGAAAAACATGGAAAATCCATGGAAAACAGGGGAAAACATGGAAAATTCATGGAAAAACATGGAAAATCCATGGAAAATCCATGCAAAATATGGAAAAACCAGGGAAAATACATGGAAAAATATGGAAAATTCATGGATAAACACAGGAAAACCCATGGGAAATCCCCCATGAACTGCTCGGACTGATCCTCGTCCTCCCCTGGAAAACACGGAAAATCCATGGAAAACATGGAAAAATATGGGAAATTCATGGAAAAAACAGGGAAAATCCATGGAAAAACATGAAAAAACATAGAAAACCATGGAAAAACATAGAAAACCATGGAAAAATCACAGAAAAAACATGAGAAAACATGGAAAAAAACCTGGGAAATCCATGGAAAACTTATCCCCAAATGTTGCTGGGATGGGAAAGCTGAGCTCAAATTTTGGGATGGGAAAATTGATCCCAAATGTTGAGATGGAAAATCGATCCCAAATTTTAGAATGGGAAAATTGATCCCAAATTTTGAGATGAGAAAATTAATCCCAAATTTTGGGATGAGAAAGCTGATCCCAAATCTCAGTGGGATTGAAAAGTTGATCCCAAATTTTAGAATGGGAAAATTGATCCCAAATTTTGGGATGGAAACATTGATCCCAAATCTCCATGGGATGAGAAAATCAATCCCAAATTTTAGAATGGGAAAATCGATCCCAAATTTTAGAATGGGAAAATAATTGATCCCAAATTTTGGGATGGAAACTCGACCCCGACTTTTGCTGGGCGGGGAAAATCCCGGCCCCGTTTTCCCCGTTCCAAACCCAATTCCCGATTTTCCTTCCGGCCGAGGCGCGGCGGGAGAAGCCGCAATTCGGTGGGAATTTTTTTGGGAATTTTGGGAATTTTTTGGGGAATTTGGGAATACCTAAATCCACCATGAGCAGCCGGCCCAGCGCGGTGTAGAACGTCGTGCGGCAGCGCATGTCCGACAGGCTGGACTGGCTGTTGATCCCCAGGAAGGAAAAGTGCTCGCTCTGGAGAAGGGAAAAATGGGAATTCCTGGGAAAATATCCGGGGAAAATATCCCGGGAATTCCAGGGAAAATATCCCGGGAATTCTGGGAAAATATCCCGGGAATTCCAGGAAATCATTCCCGGCCGCCCGTGGCCGACAGGCTGGAAAAGTGCTCGCTCTGGAGAAGGGAAAAATGGGAATTCCAGGGAAAAAACCTGGGAATTCCTGGGAAAACATCCCAGGAATTCTGGGAAAATATCCCAGGAATTCCAGGAAATCATTCCCAGCCACCCGTGGCCGACAGGCTGGAAAAGTGCTCGCTCTGGAGAAGGGAAAAATGGGAATTCCAGGGAAAAAACCTGGGAATTCCTGGGAAAATATCCTGGGAAAATATCCCGGGAATTCCTGGGAAAATATCCCGGGAATTCCTGGGAAAATGTCCTGGGAATTCCTGGGAAAATATTCCCAAAAATGCCAGGAAATCATTCCCAGCCGCCCGTGGCCGACAGGCTGGAATGGCTGCTGATCCCCAGGAAGGAAAAGTGCTCGCTCTGGAGAAGGGAAAAATGGGAATTCCTGGGAAAATATCCTGGGAATTCTGGGAAAATATCCCGGGAATTCCAGGAAAATATTCCGGGAATTCCAGGAAATCATTCCCAGCCGCCCGTGGCCGACAGGCTGGACTGGCTGCTGATCCCCAGGAAGGAAAAGTGCTCGCTCTGGAGAAGGGAAAAATGGGAATTCCTGGGAAAATATCCTGGGAAAATATCCCGGGAATTCCAGGAAAATATTCCTGGGAATTCCAGGAAATCATTCCCAGCCGCCCGTGGCCGACAGGCTGGAAAAGTGCTCGCTCTGGAGAAGGGAAAAATGGGAATTCCAGGGAAAAAAACTGGGAATTCCTGGGAAAACATCCCAGGAATTCTGGGAAAATATCCTGGGAATTCCGGAAAAATATTCCTGGGAGTGCCAGGAAAATGTCCTGGGAAGACAACTTGGAAAATCTCCCTGAAATCCAGGAATTCCTGAAAATCATCCTGGAAATGTGTGCAGAACGGCTTTTAATTCCAGGAATTCCTGGAAAACATCCCGGGAATTCCTGGGAATCATCGCTGCACTCCTGGAATTCCTGGGAATAATTCCTGAAAACCAGGAATTCCTGGAAAAAAATTACGGGAATGGAATCCTGGAATGGAATCACGGAATGGAATCTGGGAATGGAATCCGGGAATGGAATCCCGGGATGGAATCTGGGAATGGAATCCGGGAATGGAATCTGGGAATGGAATCCTGGGATGAAATCCCGGGATGGAATCCGGGAATGAAATCCCGGAATGGAATCCCGGAATGGAATCCAGGGATGAAATCCTGGAATGGAATCCGGGAATGGAATCCTGGGATGGAATCCAGGGATGAAATCCTGGAATGGAATCCCGGAATGGAATCCAGGGATGAAATCCCGGAATGGAATCCAGGGATGAAATCCTGGAATGGAATCCCGGAATGGAATCCAGGGATGAAATCCCGGAATGGAATCCCGGAATGGAATCTGGGATGCTCCGGGTGGGAAGGGACCCCAATCCCATCCCGCCCCTCTCCCAGGCCGGGAATTCTCCCGGAATTTTTCTGGGATTTCCCGGAGATCCGAAACCTTCGGGAACGGGGCGACGCCGCCAAACCCAAACCCCTCAAACCCCCCCCAAAAAAAACCCCAAAAACCCCCAAAATCCCCAAATCCGGCGGCGGGGGCGCCCGGGGAGGGGCCGGAATTCCGGAGGGGAATTCCAGGCGGGAATTTTCCGGGATTTTGGGGGGGGGGCTCACCGTGTGATTGTTGAGCATGAACTGCACGGCGCTGAGCTTCACCAGCTTCCGCACGCTGCTGTAGGTGCCGGCCGTCAAGGAGCAATTCCCACATTCCCGGGAATTCCCGGGAAACCTTCCCAGGGACACCATGGAAAAACGGGATTGGGCCTGCAGCACTCAGGAATTCCGGAATTTTTGGTTCATTCCATGGAAAATCCAAATTGAGCAAAGCTCGGCTTGGGGAGACCTTCGGTGATCACTGGGGAAACTCCAGGTCTGGAATTCCTGGAATTCCTGGAACTTCTGGAATTCCTGGGAAACCTTCCCAGGGACACCATGGAAAAATGGGATTGGGCCTGGAGCACTCAGGAATTCGGGAATTTTTGGTTCATTCCATGGAAAATCCAAATTGAGCAAAGCTCGGCTTGGGGAGACCTTCGGTGGTCACTGGGGAAACTCCAGGTTGGAATTCTGGAATTCCTGGAACTTCTGGAATTCCTGGAACTTCTGGAATTCCTGGGAAACGTTCCCAGGAACATGATGGAAAAATGGGATTGGGCCTGGAGCACTCAGGAATTTGGGAATTTTGTGGGTTCGTTCCATGGAAAATCCAAATTTCAGCTCGGGAAAACCTTCGGTGATCACTGGGGAAACTCCAGGTCTGGAATTCCTGGAACTTCTGGAATTCCTGGGAAACGTTCCCAGGAACATGCTGGAAAAATGGGATTGGGCCTGGAGAATTCAGAAATTTGGGAATTTTTGGTTCGTTCCAAGGAAAATCCGAATTTTGCAAATCCTGGCTTGGGGAGATGCCTTGGGGAAAATCCCAGGGTCTGGAATTTTAGGAATTCCTGGGAATTCCGAAATTCTTGGAATTCCTGGAGAACACTTCCAGGAACATGCTGGAAAAACGGGATTGGGCCTGGAGCACTCAGGAATTCGGGAATTTTTGGTTCGTTCCAAGGAAAATCCGAATTGTGCAAAGCTCGGCTTGGGGAGACCTTCGGTGATCACTGGGGAAACTCCAGGTCTGGAATTTCAGGAATTCCAAGAAATTCCTGGAAAACACTTTCAGGAACATGATGGAAAAATGGGATTGGGCCTGGAGAACTCAGGAATTTGGGAATTTTTGGTTTGTTCCAAGGAAAATCCAAATCTCAGCTCGGGAAAACCTTCGGTGGTCACTGGGAAAAATCACAGGGTCAGGAATTCCTGGAATTCCTGGAAATTCTGGAATTCCTGGAAAACACTTCCAGGGATAGGCTGGAAAAATGGGATCGGGCCTGGAGAACTCAGGAATTTGGGAATTTTTGGTTTGTTCCAAGGAAAACCCAAATTGTGCAAATCTGGGGAAAAACCCAGGAAGTCCTGGAATTTCTGGAATTCCCTGGAATTTCTGGAATTCCCTGAAACTTGTGAAACTCCCTGGAATTTGTGGAATTCCCTGGAACTTGTGGAATTCCCTGGAACCTCTGGAATTACTGAAAGCCCTGAAATTCCCTGGAGTTTGTGGAATTCCTAAAACCTCTGGAATTCCCTGGAACTTCTGGAATCCCCTGGAATTTCTGGAATTTCTGAAACCTCTGGAATTCCCTGGAATTTGTGGGATTTGTGGAATTTCCTGGAAATTGTGGAACTCCTTGGAATTCCCTGCAACTTGCAGAATCCCCAGAACTTGCAGAATTCCCGAAACCTCCGGAATCCCCAAAACCTCTGGAATTCCCAAACCTCTGGAATTCCCAAACCTCCGGAATCCCCAAAACCTCTGGAATCCCCAAACCTCTGGAATTCCCAAACCTCTGGAATTCCTGAAACCTCTGGAATTCCCAAACCTCTGGAATTCCCAAACCTCTGGAATTCCTGAAACCTCTGGAATTCCTGAAACCTCTGGAATTCCCAAACCTCTGGAATTCCTGAAACCTCTGGAATTCCCAAATCTTCGGAATCCCCAAACCTCTGGAATCCCCAAACCTCTGGGATTCCCAAACCTCTGGAATTCCCAAAACCTCTGGAATTCCCAAACCTCTGGAATTCCCAAACCTCTGGAATCCCCAAACCTCTGGAATCCCCTGGAGTTTCTGGAATTCCCAAAACCTCTGGAATCCCCAAAACCTCCGGAATCCCCAAACCTCTGGAATTCCCAAATCTCTGGAATTCCCAAAACCTCTGGAATCCCCAAAACCTCCGGAATCCCCAAACCTCTGGAATTCCCAAATCTCTGGAATTCCCAAACCTCCAAAATTCCCAAACCTCTGGAATTCCCAAACCTCTGGAATCCCCAAAACCTCTGGAATCCCCAAACCTCCGGAATTCCCAAACCTTCGGAATTTCCAAACCTCTGGAATCCCCAAAACCTCTGGAATCCTGAAACCTCTGGAATCCCCAAATCTCTGGAATTCCCAAACCTCTGGAATTCCCAAATCTCTGGAATTCCCAAACCTCTGGAATTCCCAAACCTCTGGAATCCCCAAATCTCTGGAATTCCCACAACCTCTGGAATCCCCAACCCTCCGGAATTCCCCGGAACTTGTGGAATTCCCTGGGATCCCCCTCCCTTGCCGAATTCCCAGAACTCCTCCGGCTCCTCCGGCTCCTCCTCCCCAGATCCGGGGGAGAGCGGGAAGGCGACATTCCCGCCATCCCGCGGCATTCCCGCCATCCCACGGAATTCCCGCCGTCCCACGGCATTCCCGCCGTCCCACGGCATTCCCGCC